CCTGACGCGATCAACTCAACGACGTCATCGAGTGGCGGCGCCGGCCTGTCGCGCGACGCACAGTGAGCTCCCTTATCCCACAAGTCCTAAAAATCAACCAGCGCCTTCCAGTCTGGCGAGTCTTACGCAATGCGTGCCAACATTTCTCGTCCTTGGGTACAACCATGCGCAGCGGCGGGTCCCCGTTGTAGGATTATGACATCACGGCCAGCGGGGCTTCTGGTTAGACGTTGGTGACGAAAAGATCCACCTGGTGGCTATAAAAAACAAAGCGGCGCGTCACCTGCAGTTTACCTATAGGTTAGAGAGAAGCCTCTCGTTGCTTCGAGCCTTTTTGCTGTCGGCGTGGCCGGTGTCCTTGTAAGCGGCGAGTTTCATGGTGCCCATCGTAACCTCATCGGTGATGCGCTTCGTAACAGTGGATGGCAGCTGCGGGATAGGCTGGCGTCAGCGACATTGATGCGGTGAGTGCCTGATATTTTCCGCGTAGTTCACAAGACTACTTTAGTACCGGTTATAATAGTTTAGAGAAGGGTTATGTGAAGCATCAGAGTGAGGTTTGATTGTTTCAAGCCAAGTTGGAGCTTTTTGAAACCAAAGTTAATGCGGATGGGGTTAGCATGGTTGAAGATTGCTTGCGCGTCTCGCTAGTTGACTTATAGTGGGTATGGCATGTACATTCTTAACAGGGGCAAACAGCAACAGGCTAGTGTGAACGATGAAGAACCTTAAAGTGAAGGAACTCATCGAAATTTGTGAGGAACTTGGCATTACTTCGGGCCGTGCAAAACAAATGCAAGTGGTCTTTGAGATCTCGAAGGATGAAGGAGTGTCCACTGAGGAAGTCGATAAGGCATGGGCAGATATCAAAGCATGCCACGAGGAGGCTGAAAGGCGAGAAGTTCACGAACGTGAAGAAGCTGAAAAGCGCGAACGACGGGAGCGTGAGGAGGCTGAGAGACAGGAGCGCCTCCAGTTGAAACGAACAGAATTGGCAATTCTACAGTGTTCGAAGGCACCTAGCGTAGCTTCTCCGATGGTTCAGGTCATAGAATTTGGGACCAACTGCCACCGTTCATAGTCGGCGAGGACATGGCGAAGTATCTCGTCAAGTGTGAACACGCCTGTGAGCGAAATGCTTTGGAGCGGCCACCTTCGGTGCAGAACCTGTTAGCTCTTGTTCCAGGTGAAGTGTCCGACGTGATAACTTGCTTGTCGAGGCAAGCATTTGAGAGCTATGACGAGGTTAAGGAAGTGCTCTTGAGACGTTATAGGTTGTCACCCGAGGCTTTCCGGCAAAGGTTCCGGTACGCAAAAAAGGGGAATGAGACATATGTTGACTTTGCCTTTCATCTTAGAGCCGATTTATTTGAATGGCTCAAGGGGAAGGGGTTTATGATGATCGCGATAAAGTGGTAGAAAGCATTGCATTGGAGCAATTCTACTGCTGCATCGAGGAGGGCGTTAGGCTTTGGCTGCAGGACAAACTTGGTAAAGTACAGCTAAACAAGGCAGCAGAGTTAGCTGAGGAGTATTACACTCGCCAAAAGTTGCATAGTAGACAGTGCTCGTTGAAAAGGATGAAAGGATAAAGGGCTTTTCAAAGAAACCTGAGCAGCAGAAACCAACTTCGCACCATAAATTCAGGAAGGACCCGTCTCTTACGAAGTACACTGTAGGGGAAGGGCAAACGTAAGCGCCGAAAATGAGTGAGGTTCCTAAACAACGCACTGATACCACACGGGCGTTTGAATCACGGAAGCCGCTAATCTGCTACAACTGCAAAAAGAAAGGGCACATCGAAATAAACTATAAGCAGAAGTTCGCTTTCGCAACAATACATGAATTGGAAAAGAACGTGCGGTTGTTAGAGCCGTATCTCAAAGAAATCAGTGTGAATGGGAAAACGTGCCGAGCACTTCGAGACTCAGCGCCAACCATGGACGTTGTCCATCCTTCGTTGGTGTCTCCGGATGACTTTACAGGAGAATGCGCGTGGATCAAACAAGTCGCGAGGAGCAGAATACCTGCTTACCAATCGCAACGGTTGTCATTGAAGGCCCGTTCGCTAAGCTTCGCACCGAACGGCTGTGTCTTCCGCGCTTCCCGATCGTATTGCTTACTTTTTTGTAATAACTCAGAGCAGCTGCTCAAAGAGCAGGGTAAATCGTTCTTCTCCAACTTAGAGCACATCACCCTCACGGGATCGCAAGCGCAAAAGCTTTCACAGAAACTTGATCTTGTTCATTGTGGTCAAGCACGACCTGCAAAAGCTGCTGATATGCGTGACCTTGGCAGCGAGTTGACAGAACCACAGACAGGAAATTCTCCGTGTGAGTAATATGAGCAGTCACTCGAACGGCCCGTCGCCGAAGCGACTGGCACGGTCGCTGTTGGCGGAGGAGACGACAAGGCGCCATTGAGTCAGAGCGCAAGAAGTGCGACGCTCTCGCCTGTAGCGAAAAGTCGGAATGAGCTGTCGAGGGTTGATCGAGAAACGGTCATTCTAGAGCAGCGTGAGCACCTCTTGAATTAAGCGCTAATGGAAAGCGTAAACTCGGAAAAAAAGAAAAGGAATGTTTCTTTTTTGAGAAGACAAGGCTCCTGTATCGGAGCTAATCCAATGTGCAATGTCGCGAGTATGAGCAGCTCTTGGTGCCACAAAAGTATCATTGCCAACTATTGGAACAGGTACAAGAAAATGCGTGGCAGGGCATCTCGGCATAAAGAAGACTAAGGCTAGAGTTTCTCTTGAGTTTTATTGGCCAAAATGCCGGAAGAATATTGAAGACTTTGTACGCTCTTGCGACACTGGTCAGAGAGCGGGGAAATCTATGGACAAGTGGAAGGACTCCCATGAGTCTTGTGCCAATGATCACACAATCTTTTCGGCGCCTAGTAATTGAGACCGTTGGGCCGTTGCCAGAGTCAAGGCAAGGTTTTCGGTACATCCTGACGGCCCTCTGTGTAGCCACAAAATTTTCGGGAGCGATACCACCTAAGGAGCTCGATTCCCCTCATGTCGTGCACGCACTGCTATCTATATTTGCGAGCGTTAGATTTCCTTCTGAAATCCACTGTGACAATGGTAGCATCTTCACCAGCTTACCTTACCTTCACCTTTTTGGATAAATGTGAAATAAAGGAGTGCACAGCTCGATCCTTCAACAGCAATCTAATCCGGTAGAGCGTATGCATTTCGTTCTGAAACGGATACTGAGAGCCGTTTTCTACGAACACAAATGCAGCTGGGAAGCGTGTGTTCCTCCCAATATGTTCGCTTTGAGGTCATCTGCTCGTGAGAGCATAGGTTTTAGCCCTGCAGAGTTTGGCAGAAGTTTGAGAACACCATTGCGAATGCTACGCGAGTCCTGGGAGGGATTAGATGAGGACCCTAATGTAGTTGCGTATGTTCCAGACCTCCTTCAGAGGCTTGGAAAAACGGAAGATCTTGTGAAAAGCCACTTGAAGGCTGCACAAGTGTTGTAGAAGGCGTACATCAACAGATCGGTGAAGAAGCGTACATTTGAAGAAGGAAGTCAGGTGATGCTGCGGTCATTCAAAAAGTCAATTATTCCAGTATGGCTCTCAAAACCGGTGCCAAATCAATTCGAGTACTTTGTTGTCAAAGCTGAAGGACATGAGTCTAAAGTGAACGGAAAAATCAGTTCGGAGCTTGTGAGCTAGAGCGCATGGCAGCCGCTTGATGGATTCGAGGTGATTGACAACTACATTCGCAAGGGCAGCCATGTTAGTCGGAGGCTGAAATGCCTCGCCGGCGAAGCTTGCTGTGCACTTTGAACAGCTCTCCCGTATCAGGGGGTGGCCAATGGTCTATGACACTGCGCCGTTACCGCAGGCTTGCCGCTAGCGTAAACAGGTGAGTCAAAAAGGTGCCTCGTATCTGAAAACCGTCAGGCCTGCGCAATACGAGCAGCACTGTCGCAACAAAAGCTTGAACGTCAACGGGCCAGCGTCATGCAAGTTACCTTGGTGAGCGACAGTACAGTAAACGTAGAACGTTTTTTTTGCGAGGATAGGTTTTATTTTCTTGTTATACCAATTTCTATTACAAATGAAGCATCTTTTTTGTTGTTGCTATTTTTCCAGTTTATGACCTGGCAGCCTTGCATCGCTTTCCTTTTAGCCGTTGTGTTTACATTGATAAAACTGCTAGACTAACAGTTGCGCTGTGGTACATTTTTATATGTAGAAAGGGCTGATACGTGCAAGCTTTTTGGGTATTAGACTCATCACCTGCAGTTTAGGCTGTATATAGGTTTAAATATTTGTGAAGAAAATTTTTATAACATAATGTAACAAAGTTCCCTCTTTCAATAATTTTCATTTGAGAAGGCTTCAGATTTTTCGAAGTATAAGACCAGGATTTTAAGAATATTTTCCCTCATCTATAAATGCAGGCATAGAGAAACACCTGTATAAATTGATCCACTGGTTTTGACTAACAATACGTATAAAATAACTGATACCTGCAAGCAGCCTTGAACATATACAATTATTTATGTATGATTTCTTGCGAAAGAAGCACCTTCCGACTGAAACTGAACATCCACTATGAAGTGGTTTGTCAGAAGCGACTGAAAAACAACGTAGCCTCACGTGAGGCGCACGAAGTCGCTCATGTTGCCGAAATACGTTGACTCCAGGCTTCTAATCTTAGACATTGTCAATTACGTTTATATATCGTTGAATCGTATGACTCACATGCTGAGTTCACTACATGCACCTACAGCAGTGCTATTGTAAATATTGAAAGGCGCAACCTGGCATTGCCTTATTCAGGCACACACACGAAGGCAGGTGAAAACACGCAGTGCCGGGTGTGTTCATCTTGCGTGAATGCATGTGTAAACGAGGGAAGACCAGAGTGCCACACCTTTATTCCTTATAACGAGTCAGCAACAAATTCAACATCAACTTGCAATATTTGCAAGTATAGTCGCATCAGAGGGCCTTCACTATATAAACTACCTACTCACCACTGTCATGATTGCCAGCCTGAGCATTCACGCACTGCCTGGCATGTACGGAGAATATTCGACCCACGCCGCACAGCCGTTGTCTAAGTGCTCCGCTAGAGCATGCCATATAGTAGGCCCCACCACGAGGATGCAAGAAGTTCTGGCCTTCGTCGCATCTCGAACGAAGCCTTGACAGGATTCTTCCAAAAGTCTGCTCCTCGTATGCCATACCTGCGAGGTAAAATGACTCGGTAAGGCGATAACAAAGAAGTCTGGCAGTTTGTGCTAGTTGGTGTGACATGACGATAGTTATAGCTCGAGAACAGAACGTCGACAAAGAGACAAGAAGTTACAAGAAGTTGGAAGTTTGCTCTCGTGTCCTTCTTGTCTCTTTTTCATTGTTCTGTTCTCGCGATATAACTATCGTCAAGCGATGAAAAAACAACAAAACGAATCGGGCAAGTCCCACGACTTGAATTAATCTGTTCGCTGAGCGAAGCAGTGGGCAAGTAGTTTGCCGTACTGCATGTTTTTGTTTTTGAGCCAAGCGTTACATAATAAATCAGAGCATATTTGTACACCATAAGCTTACCATACATGCCGATTGCACTGATGTTTAAAGTATTACCCATGATCGGCCTTCACTCACGTTAAAAACAGAGATGATGACGATGCTTCGACGATTGGCAGATTCGGAAGGAAAAGACGCAGTCAGCAGCACTGCCAATGCTTGGCCCACTCACCCCACATCTCTCTTACGAGACGCTGCTCCGCCATAGCTCAATGTATTGTGTTGTATCGTAGTCACTACAGAAACGTATTGTCAAAGTTTTTTGAAACATTCAAAATTCAGATGGAAAGATTGGCAGGCCGGTGTACAGCGAACAGGGTAAACCAAGGAAATTGTTTTGAAGGCTTGTAAAAGATGGGCAACCCTCAAGTTCCGCCTTTAAGAAATCAACGCGAGTGCGTACGTCAACTTCTGAGGGCATATTTTTTATCGTGTGATGTTACTCCACAAGATAAAATTTTTGACTACTACAACGCAGTCGATAAAATTGAAAGTGGCTTGTGTCAGTGAAGTTTTCGCACATGGCTGCATTCTGTGTTGTGTGTAGAATGCCTGAAACTATAGGCAATGTGCGTGATCTGTATTCGAGCTTGCTATGTAAGTAATCATAAGGGAATACGCGCAGCAACTTCTGTGCCTTTCGTAGTGGCTGGCCATCTTAAAGAAGACGTTACGATATACACATACTCTGATGCGCGATGGTAATGTGCGCTTGTAAAAGCAATGATACTGTGGTAATAAGCGTGAAGCCTCTATTCAGTAGTTTGTGTTTGTAAACCATTACAGCTAATTTCACTGCATTTCACAGCTGAAGCTGTTGCCACTGTATTTCTTAGCCGGCCTCTTTCAACCAGGTTTACTGTTCTCTTCCGCGCCGCCCACGCCTCTCTCTTTCTAACCTTGTTTACCTTGTAGATTTTTACGTAGATCCTAAGTTTATGACTCACACCCGCCCTGGAGAATCAGCCAATAATCGGGTAGCTAAAAAAGTAATATATATACCTAAATACTAGCGAAAAGAATGCTAACAAAATATTTACTTTTGGCAAATTACTCTCGAGAAAACAATACGAAGAATTAGTTCCTACTTAAGAAGAAATAAATGAGTGATATCAAAGAAAATTTTTGTGCAGCCTACATGGATTAACTCAGAACCTTTTGGTATTGAGGTTATGGAGTAATTTTCTTTTCATAACTTCGAAATCTTAGAGCCAAAACATACAGGGACAAAAGGACGGGACGTAGGCAACATGAGCGCATACTTCAAACCACGTTTATTTAGGAACATACTTGAACACATGTCAGCTCAATTCATAGTGCGGGAACGTTTACGTGGGCTTAACTGGGCGACGTCTTAATATCTACCTACGCGAGCACTTAGGGCAGGTAATAACCAGGAAGCCGAACCACGAGATTGAAGTAACTAGAAGAATAAGAATGGGCTGGAGGACATTTGGCCAGCACTCTCAGATTGTGACAGGTAGATTGCCACTGTCCCTCAAGAGAAAGGTATATAACAGTTTATCTTGCCGGTACTTAGCTACGGAGCAGAAACCTGGAGACTTACAAAGAGGGTTCAGCTTATATTGAGGACGACGCAGCGAGCAATGGAAAAAAAAAGTGGTAGGTGTAACCTTAAGAGACAAGAAGAGAGCAGAGTGGATTAGGGAACAAACGGGGGTTAGGGATATCATAGCTGAAATCAAGAAGAAGAAATGGACATGGGCCGGGCATGTAGCGCGTAGACAGGATAACCACTAGTCGTTAAGGGTAACTAACTGGTTTCCCAGAGAAGGAAAGCGGTTTAGGGGGAGACAGAAGGTTAGGTGGGCAGATGAGATTAAGAAGTTTGCGGGTATAAATTGGCAGCAGCAAGCACAGGACCGGGTTAACTGGTGGAACAGGGGAGAGGCCTTTGTCCTACAGTGGACGTAGTCAGGCTGATGATGATAATGATGATGATGACGCGAGCACCACAGCTCATTGTAAGGTACGCCATCGTCCCGCTTGCCATTGTATTGCCGTCAGTGGGGCTGCACTCCACTGTTTGACTAAGCAGCTGTCAACTGTTGAACAAGCAGCTCATTGATTGATATGTGGGGTTTAACGTCCCAAAACCACTATAATATTATGAGAGAGGCCGTAGTGGAGGGCTCCGGAAATTTAGACCACCTGGGGTTCTTTAACGTGCACCCAAATCTGAGCACACAGGCCTACAACATTTCCGCCTCCATCGTAAATGCAGCCGCCGCAGCCGGGATTCGAACTTGCGCCCTGCGGGTCAGCAGCCGAGTACCTTAGCCACTAGACCACCGCGGCGGGGCTGTTGAACAAGCAGCTGTGTTGCTTGCTCTGTTGCACTGTTGAACAGCAGCTGCGTTAACAAGCAGCTGTTGAACAAGCAAAGCACTGTTGAACAAGCAGCTGTGTTACTTGCTCTCGTCACAGAGAGCAAGTAATCCATGAAATAATTGAGGCCTGCATCAGCCAAAAATATGGCACCAAATGCGTGAGTCAATGGACTGTGCTTCACCATGATAACGGATTTTCATTTCCTTTTTCACATATTTTCTTAGTTTCACCAGGATACGCCCACGCAATGGATGTTTCAGTTTTCACATGTAGGGTATTTTCCGAGGGACTTCTGCAAGTTATTTTGTAAGCTTTTTTGTTCGAATTACGCATGCGTGTTTCCCTGTTTACTCCCTGACTATACGTTTCTTGTTTTCGCAAGATGTTTGTTAGTACTCTATCTGTAACATTGGAAGGTATAAGAATGCTCTGATTTGAGTTGATATATATTCATGTGTGTTCCCTAACAAACCTGCTTTGATGTTTGCGCTCATGTTGTATACGACTTTTCCTTTTGTCTCCGTATTTTCTGGTGCTAAGATTTCCAAGTTACGCATCTTCACTAATCCGCACAATTCGCCGCACGCACAACTCGCCACACGCACAACTCGCCACACTCTTTGACTGCTCAATGAAATCTCGCTCGGCCTCGTACACTTTCTCATTGCGGTGCCGGCATCTCGACGCGTAACGGCTTTCATGCGATATATTTCTTAATGCTGAAAACTTTGTACAAGAGATCAAGAAGTGGCCCAGTTTTCTCTTCTCCACTAAAAGAACCCAGTGGAAATTGATTGATTGATTTGTGTGGTTTAACGTCCCAAAACCACCATATGACTATGAGAGACGCCGTAGTGGAGGGCTCCGGAAATTTTGACCACCTGGGGTTCTTTAACGTGCGCTCAAACCTGAGCACATGTGCCTACAACATTTCCGCCTCCATCGAAAATGCAGCCACCGCAGCCGGGATTCGAATCCGCGACCTGCGGGTCAGCAGCCGAGTACCTTAGCCACTAGACCATCGCGGCGAGGCCAGAACCCAGTGGGAAGGCAGTCAAGCCTGCTCTAAACAAAAAAATAAAAATAAATAAAGTAATACGACAGCGTAATCGAGAGATTGAAACTTCCAGACACCGGTTATGACATGAGTAAGCTTTCCAAGGTGTCATTAGATGGTTTAAATCCGGCGAATTTTTAAAGATGGTGGAGATAATTTTCGCACCACCACTTCTATCTAGCCGCTACTATAAAAAATCTAGCCGCTACTAAATTTAGCCGCTACTATAAAAGCTGTTGTAGAGGTAATATTCATAGCTTATCTGTGAAATGCCGCTTTCGCTGGTGCATCAGCTATTTCGTATAGAGTTATGCCTCTATGCCCAGGCACCTATACTATACACCCCTGAGTTAAGTGATTCGGAACTACGAAGCTGAATTCGTCTAATGCTTCCGAATCATCGGAAGCCGTGAGCGTAGTGCAGACTGACAAGAAATCCAATATTATTACGGCGGAATTTATTGATGTTGACAGTTTTCGAAGAGCCCATAAAACAGCCAGACATTTTGCGATAAATATAGGTGTGAAACCAAGAATCCGGAGCGAAAAGGACCAGTATAGAAAAGGGCTGAATATACCGATGCCCCCGTTTTCACCTCTGTGTGAACCGTCCGTCGCAATGATGACCTGTGCTTGCATTCCTAGCAGGTAGTCCTGTAAAATAGCTCCGAACATATTACTCGGTAGGTGTTTAGCACTATTAGAGAAAATGTCATCAAAGTATATTTGGAGAGAACTTGTCGAGCTACAAATTGGGAGAACCTCCATATTTAGCGCCAAAAGTGGGTTGAACAGAGAGAGTAGAAACTTTAGTTGAGGTGTGGGAAATCTAAGCTGATGACAATAAAGAAAAACCAGGTTGCGCAATGAAAACTGTTTCTTTACCCCTAGAATGAGATTTATCAATACTATCATCAGCCTGACTACGTCCACTGCAGGACAAAGACTTCTCTCACGCTTCGTTAGTCAACTTGATGAAAGAAGATTAATGCCCTTAAATATGTTTGTACAGCCAATATTTTGAATCTGGTGAGGAGTCAGCGAATTCGAGCTTCCATATATAAAACGTTATTCGCTACAAACTTAGGTAGCCCTAAGCACATGCGCAGTGCCTGTTTCTCCTGAAGAACAAGAAAACGCAGCTTATAGGCAGGTGCCCCGGAGTATAAGACATGTGACCATCCAAATTCCAGAATCGGCATTACATGCATGTGCTATAATTATAATAACGTGACTCTGCGCACTCCTTGT